CGGGGGTGCAGGACCGGGGGGGCTCTGCACCCCCCCGCACGCACAGCGATTGTTCAGTCCCAGTGCGGGAGGGAGGAAATGTCCCCTGGCCCAGATCCTACAAGGCACTTAGGTGCGTGACTGCCATTGAAGCCAAGGGGAATTAGGCGCTTGCCTTCGAAGCGCTGGCGTTCAGACGTGTATCAGCGAGCCCCCAACCCGCGTGACTAGACCCCAAAGATGTTAAGGCCAGAAGCGATGGTTGGATCATTCTAGTCTATACTGCAGGCCGCAGATTTTCACCCACCTGCACCTACTAGCTTGTGTCTGACTCACCTACATCTTCCAGAAAGGCGGGGGGGACCTCTTCCACACCCAAATGCCTCCCGCCCGCCTGTAGCTCTGCCGATCAGCACCTCCCCATCTCTCCACCACGATCAACTGTTCCACGGTGGGCACCTGCATTTTCTGTGTGTAAAAATCCTGATCAATTCACTTCTCAATCTTACTTTGGAGAAGAACAGAACATATTGAACTCTAAGACTCCCTACAGGGCCTTTTCTCCAGCCTTCATTCCTTCAAAGTAGGAATAAGAGATCCTCCGGAAAAGGGCTTTTTTCCGGAGGATCGGGGCCAGTGTAGACGCTCTCTTCCGGCTTTTCTAAAAGCCGGAAAAAAGCGGCGGATATTTTTATTTAAATGCCGCGGGGGATATTTAAATCCCCCGCGGATTTCCCTATTACGACCTGTAAAATTAGCATGCCCCTTTCGGAAAAGGGGCCAGTGTAGACGTAGCCCCTGTGTTTAGAAAAAGGAGATGGAAGCAGTCCCTCTTTGGAGCGAAAGCACACACACCTATGGCAAATCCACAAACTCTGCACAACGATACTTGCCAAAAGGAAGATCCAATCTGGGGCTTCCTGACTCAGAGGGTGGCTTTTAAAATGCTGCCGTTTGCGGAACCAGTTGCAACCGTGCAGAAAAGCAGGATGTTTTGCGCATACTTACAACCTTCCACAACTGATCTGCCTCTAACTGCTGTCACTATTGTAAATCTGCTTTTGGAAAATACTCTTTTGAGATTCTGATTAGCTGGGTTGTTTTTATACAAGCAGGAAACAAGCCTAACGTATAGCTACCGTAAGTTTTTGTTGTTGTTTTGTTTGTTTTCTTGCAAAGGCATTTGATGGCATTAATAATTCTCCATCTGTTATTTTGTTAACTATATGAGCTTCTTTCCAATCAGTGTATGCTGGGTGTCTGTTTATGCCAATATCATTATAACCTTCCCTCCTTTCCTCCTGTTTTCAGTAAACAGCAGTTGAACATTTGGCTAGTCTGAATGTGTGAATGGGTCTGATCCTTACCTGGTGTGAATTTATCAATCAAGCTATGCTGATTCGGATTTGGCTCTCTCTCTTCCCAACTGACATTTTGGGCAGTTGCACTGGTGTGGTCTAAGGGATGGTTCAAATGTACTTATGTATTTTAAAAATGTGCATCTGTCTGTCCAATTGTGAGTCTGTTTGTTCAAGAACTCTTCCTAAATGGTAAGGGCTAGGACCACCACATTTGGTATGCAGCTTCCTCTTCTGGGCTGCTACTTGTGTGCAGTTCCTGCCTCCTCTGGTCGCTGCCTGTCCCGATGTCATTAGGGTCCAGAGTCAACACCCAGCTGAGCGGAGAATGGCCACGCCCCCTGCCTGCAGGCTGGGGCAGGCGG